ATCGCAAAACTCGATGATTGCCTGCAAATCATGGAATTCAGGCGCATGTAGCAGTCCACGCGATTCTGTAGATTTCGCCATAGATGCGATCGAAACGGGTGCGGCGGCGCGCACCGCAGAATACAGTGCTCAGAATTCGCGCTGAAACGAGGCCTCAAGCTGTAGGCGACAGGCGAAAAGCGATTAGAAGAGACGATGTAGCTGATCACAATATTTTTTCCTGTTTAGTCGTTCAAAACAATTTTAATCGTTTTGACGTGTCTTTAATTACCGCATTAATGTAGACAATTTGACATTACAATTACGCAGTCATCCGGAGCGACAAAAAGTTGACTTTTGTTCTAAGTGGTTTACGTCAGAGGTTTCGGCCTGGGTTGCGCTCAAGGCAAAATGTCCCTCTGCGCTCAAACGCAAACGATGTATCATTAGGCCGGGTATCATTGGGCCTACTGCAATACCACCATTAGAAAGTTTACAGGTCAGCCGTTGTGTCGTGATTCCTAATTTATCCGTCCCCTTTGGGCACAGCGCAAATGACGGGGTTAATATCCGAGGCTATTTCACTAGTTATTAAAGCCGGACATGCTGCGCTAATGGGTAAATTGGATATTAGAAGCGCTTATCGTAAGTTCAGTGCATCCGTCAGCCCGTCATTTATTAGGAATGTTTTGATAAAGTGGTTTCTATGTTGATCTAGCATTACCGTTTGGCTTGCGCTCAGCACCAGGATTTTTCAATAGTCCTTCACTAGTGCTTGGTGAATAATTAGCACGTTCTCAAGTTACTACATTACCTAGACGACCATTTCACATTAGAACCTCCTAACTTGGCCCTATGTGCTCCGCATCTCAAAGCGATTGGCCAGGCAGCGACCGAAATTGGCATACACTTATCGCTTGACAAATGCGTGGGCCCATTTTCCTTGGCATTGAGTTAAACCGGGTTTGGCTCCCTTTGCTAATTTCTGAATGGCGGCATAGCTTAGCAACTGGGTCTGGTCCCTTTGTCAATTTCTACATTGCGACATAGCTTAGCAACTGGGTTTAGTCCCTTTGCTAATTTCTAAATGGCGATATTGCTTAGCAGCTGGGTTTGGTCCCGTTGCTAATTTCTAAATTGCGACATAGCTTAGCAACTGGGTTTAGTCACTTTGCTAATTCCTAAATGGCGAGATAGCTTAGCAATTGGGTTTGGTCCCTTTGCTAATTTCTAAATGGCGATAAAGCTTAGCAATTGGGTTTGGTCCCTTGGCTAATTTCTAAATGGCGGCATCACTTAGCAATTGGGTATGGTCCCTTTGCTAATTTCTAAATGGCGACACTGCTTAGCAACTGGGCTTAGTCACTTTGCTAATTTCTAAATGGCGAGATAGCTTAGCAACTGGGTTTAGTCACTTTGCTAATTTCTAAATGGCGGATAGCTTAGCAACAGGGTTTGTCCTTTGCTAATTTTCTAAATGGCGACAGCTTAGCAATTGGGTTTAGTCACTTTGCTAATTTCTAAACGGCGTCATCTTAGCAACTGGGTTTAGTCACTTGCTAATTTCTAAACTGCGGCATCGCTTAGCAACCGGGTTTGCTCCCTTTGCTCATTTCTGAATGGCGACATAGCTTAGCAACTGGGTCTGGTCCCTTTGCTAATTTCTACATTGCGACATAGCTTAGCAACTGGGTTTAGTCCCTTTGCTAATTTCGAAATGGCGACATAGCTTAGCAACTGGGTTTGGTCCTTTTGCTAATTTCTGAATGGCGACATAGCTTAGCGGGTTTGGTTCCCTTGCTAATTTCTAAAGGGCGACATAGTTTAGCAAATGGGTCTGTTCCCTTTGCTGATTTCTAAAGGGCGACATGGCTTAGCAACTGGGTTTAGTCCCTTTGCTAATTTCTAAATGGCGATATAGCTTAGCAACCGGGCTTGATCACTTTGCTAATTTCTAAATGGTGGCAACACTTAGCAACTGGGTTTAGTCACTTTGCTAATTTCAAAATGGCGGCATAGCTTAGCAATTGGGTTTGGTCCCTTCGCTAATTTCTAAATGCAGCATAGCTTAGCACTTGGGTTTGGTCCCTTTGCTAATTTCTAATTGACGACGCTGCTTAGCAACTGGGTTTAGCCACTTTGCTAATTTCTAAATGGCGGCATAGCTTAACAATTGGTCTGGTCCCTTTGCTAATTTCCAAAATGCGGCGCTGCTTAGCAACTGGGTTTAATCACTTTGCTAATTTCTTAATGGTGGCATAGCTTAGCAACCAGGTTTTCTCCCTTTGCTAATTTCCGAATGGCGGCATAGCTTAGCAACTGGGTTTGGTCCCTTTGCTAATGTCTACATTGCGACATTGCTTAGAAACTGGGTCTCGTCCCTTTGCTAATTTCTGAATGGCGACATAGCTTAGCAACTGGGTTTGGTCCTTTTGCTAATTTCGGAATGGCGACATAGCTTAGCGGGTTTGGTCCCCTTGCTAATTTCTAAAGGGCGACATAGTTTAGCAAATGGGTTTGGTCCCTTTGCTAATTTCTAAAGGGCGACATTGCTTAGCAACTGGGTTTAGTCCATTTGCTAATTTCTAATTGGCGATATAGCTTAGCAACTGGGCTTGGTCCCTTTGCTAATTTCTAAATTGCGACATAGCTTAGCAACTGGGTTTAGTCAATTTGCTAATTTCTAAATTGCGGCATAGCTTAGCAATTGGGTTTGGTCCCTTTGCTAATTTCTAATTGACGACGTTGCTTAGCAACTGGGTTTAGTCACTTTGCTAATTTCTAAATGGCGGCACAGCTTAGCAATTGGTCTGGTCCCTTTGCTAATTTCCAAAATGCGACGCTGCTTAGCAACTGGATTTAATCACTTTGCTAATTTCTTAATGGTGGCATAACTTAGCAACCGGGTTTGCTCCCTTTGCTAATTTCCGAATGGCGGCATAGCTTAGCAACTGGGTTTGGTCCCTTTGCTAATTTCTAAATTGCGACACTGCTTAGCAACTGGGTTTAGTCACTTTGCTAATTTCTAAATGCCGGCATAGCTTAGCAATTGGTCTGGTCCCTTTGCTAATTTCTAAATGGCGGCATCACTCAGCAATTGGGTTTGGTCCCTTTGCTACTTTCTAAATGGCGACATTGCTTAGCAACTGGGTTTGGTCCTTTTGCTAATTTCTGAATGGCGACATAGCTTAGCAACTGGGTTTGGTCCCCTTGCTAATTTCTAAATGGCGACATAGTTTAGCAACTGATTTTGGGCCATTTGCTAATTTCTAAAGGGCAACATTGCTTAGCAACTGGGTTTAGTCCCTTTGCTAATTTCTAAATGGCGATATAGCTTACTGCAACTGGTTCTGGCCCCTTTGCTAATTTCGGAATGGCGACATTGCTTAGCAACTGGGTCTGGTCCCTTTGCTAATTTCTAAATGGCGACATTGCTTAGCAACTGGGTCTGATCTCTTTGCTAATTTCTGAATGATGACATTGCTTAGCAACTGGGTTTGGTCCCTTTGCTAATATCTGAATGGCGACATTGCTTAGCAACTGAGTCTGGTCCCTTTGCTAATTTCTCAATGGCGACATAGCTTAGCAACTGGGTTTGGTCCCTTTGCTAATCTCTGAATGGCGAGATTGCTTAATAGCTGGGTCTGGTCCCTTTGTTAATTTTTAAAGAACGACACAGCTTAGCAACTGGGTCTGGTCCCTTTGCTAATTTCTAAATGGCGACATTGCTTAGCAACTGGGTCTGATCTCTTTGCTAATTTCTGAATGATGACATTGCTTAGCAACTGGGTTTGGTCCCTTTGCTAATCTCTGAATGGCGACATTGCTTAGCAACTGGGTCTGGTCCCTTTGTCAATTTCTGAATGGCGACATTGCTGGGTTTGGTCCCTTTGCTAATTTTTAAAGAGCGACACAGCTTAGCGACGGGGTCTGGTCCCTTTACTAATTTTTAAAGGACGACATAGCTTAGCAACTGGGTCTGGTCACTTTGCTAATTTTTAAATGGCGACATAGCTTAGCAAATGGGTTTGGTCCCTTTGCTAATCTCTGAATGGCGAGATTGCTTAGCAACTGGGTCTGGTCCCTTTGCTAATTTTAAAGAACGACACAGCTTAGCAACTGGGTCTGGTCCCTTTGCTAATTTCTATAGGGCGACATAGCATAGCAGATGGGTCTGGTCCCTTTGCTAATTTCTGAATGGCGACATTGCTTAGCAACTGGGTTTGGTCCCTTTTCTAATTTCGGAATGGCGACATTGCTTAGCAACTGGTCTGGTCCTTTTGCTAATGTCTGAATGGCGACATCACTTAGCAACTGGGTTTAGTCACTTTGCTAATTTCAAAATGGCGGCATAGCTTAGTAATTGGGTTTGGTCCCTTCGCTAATTTCTAAATGCAGCATAGCTTAGCACTTGGGTTTGGTCCCTTTGCTAATTTCTAATTGACGACGCTGCTTAGCAACTGGGTTTAGCCACTTTGCTAATTTCTAAATGGCGGCATAGCTTAACAATTGGTCTGGTCCCTTTGCTAATTTCCAAAATGCGGCGCTGCTTAGTAACTGGGTTTAATCACTTTGCTAATTTCTTAATGGTGGCATAGCTTAGCAACCAGGTTTTCTCCCTTTGCTAATTTCCGAATGGCGGCATAGCTTAGCAACTGGGTTTGGTCCCTTTGCTAATGTCTACATTGCGACATTGCTTAGAAACTGGGTGTGGTCCCTTTGCTCATTTCTAAAGGACGACATAGCTTAGCAACTGGGTCTGGTCCCTTGGCTAATTTCTAAAGGGCGACATAGCTTAGCAAATGAGTTTGGTCCCTTTGCTGATGTCTAAATTTGCTAATTTCTAAATGGCGACATAGCTTAGCAACTGTGTTTAGCCTCTTTTGCTATTTCTAAATGGCGACAGAGCTTAGCAACCGGGTGTGGTCCCTTTGCTAACTTTACAATGGCGACATAGCATAGCAACTGGGTGTGGTCCCTTTGCTAATTTTAAAAAAGGCGATATAGATTAGCAATTGGGTCTGGTCCCTTTGCTAAGTTCTAAATGGCGACATAGCTTAGCAACCGGGCGTGGTACCTTGGCTAATTTCTAAATGGGGACATAGCTTAGCAACTGGGTCTGGTCCCTTTGCTAATTTTCTAAATGGCGACATAGCTTAGCAATTGGGTATGGCGCTTTGCTGTTTAATATGTCATGGCGACTTAGCTTAGCTACTCGTTCTGGGTACAGCTAACTGCTACGGGTGCAGCTAGAGTCACTGGCGACAGTGGCTAAGGTCAAAATAGCGCGGTATGGTGTAATAACCTGGCCTCGCCCTGTGTTTATTTTGGAAGAGCAGCAGAACTAGCCACTAAATGTGCATGGCGGCGGTGCTAATGTCAACTTATGGAGGAACATCTATGGAGGCATAGTTTGTACCCGGGTGGATGTAGTTGGGATTCGGTCTGGGGCCTGGGATTTTTGGTTACTTGGAGTGGTGAAATTTCGGAGAAATGTCACTTTGGTGGTCAGGTCCTGAATGGACAGGTCCACGTGATTCGGACCTGAATCCAAGTAACTCAAATCCGGAGATCATTAGCTGACCACGTCTGCACCTAACCATCCACACGGGTAAGTATGGTGACGACAGATATTAAATGAGGTTACATAGTAACCAAGGTTAATATCATAGGAGCCGCGCGCAGTCTGGGTACGACATGTGCCCTCAGGATGTCGGATGTAGAGAGTGCCAAGCAGACTCTCAGGTCATTAGCTAATTCGTAGCCAACTGCAATGGTTATCTGCTCAGAGAAGAAGCAATTTTTTTTTTTTTTCATGACTACAATTGATTTTCAATTTAATTTCCATCGAACTAAGTTCGGTGTGATAAGGTGCAGACGTTCGGTGGTCAGGTCCTGAATGGACAGGTCCACGTGATTCGGACCTGAATCCAAGTAACTCAAATCCGGAGATCATTAGCTGACCACGTCTGCACCTAACCATCCACACGGGTAAGTATGGTGACGACAGATATTAAAGGTATGGTACATTGCGGCCATTCATTTGATATCGATCGATGTCATCATCCTCCCTCCCATGGTGCCAATGAGTATAAAAAATTGGCTTTGTTAGCCTGGTTTGCGCCGATAATATTATATATCGCATTCGCATGTGCCGTGTATGCATAGACCTTTCACGAGCATCGTTAATAATATTCATATCGTGGCTAGTTACCTTTCTTTGAATCTAAGACTAAGATTATATATAGGCAATATATTGAACAACGCGTCGACACTTTACTCGTGTAAAAGCTGTTTTATTACGTTTATTGATTTAATGTCTTTAATTATAGCTCGTTGACGACGGCATCTAATTTAGCGGGGGAAGATTGCAAGTATTCGCGTCAAGTGGCCATACTCCAAGATGACAAACTGAAAGGCAAACCCATAGAGAAAGATTCAATCGATTCATGAAGAGAACAAATCTGTGAAATCGAACTGTCATACCGCATATAGTTTATATCAGATATGTATGTATTATAGATATACATGCCAATAATGCCGCACGTTTACTGGGTAAAGCCTGCAGTACACGAGAGCTATCTGCGGAGCCAAAAGTTACTCGTGCCTATTAGCTCAGGTGATCGCTCACCGATCAAACATGTTTGATACGTGAGAAAAGGTTGAGGCAAAAAACTCAGTAAAATGTACGCGCACACGGTGAGTTATGTATCGGCTAAGCTAACAGGCACGAGTAACTTTTTGCTCAGCAGATATCTCTTGTGTGCTGCAGGCTTTACCCAGTAAACGTGCGGCATTGTTGGCAGGTATATCTATAATACATACATATCTGCATGACATAAACTATATGCGGTATGACAGTTCGATTTCACAGATTTGTTCTCTTCATGAATCGATTGAATCTTTATCTATGGGTTTGCCTTTCAGCTTGTCATCTTGGAGTATGGCTACCTGACGCGAATACTTGCAATCTTTCCCCGCTAAATTAGATGCCGTCGTCAACGAGCTATAATTAAAGACATTAAATCAATAAACGTAATAAAACAGCTTTTACGCGAGTAAAGTGTCGACGCGTTGTTCAATATATTGCCTATATATAATTTTTTAATGCCCTTAGAATATTGATAAATAGTAAAATAAGTTACCTGCATTGGCATTATAAACGCAGTCTAGTGACTACCAAGTCCAAATTTGTATCCATTTTCCAATTTTTCATGCATAAATCTTTGTGAAAGCGAATTCAGACTGATTATGAGCCACACTGTATTCATTTATTAACCGTAAGTTCTTCACTATATCGTTATGACCGTTGTGTGCCATCGATATAATGGTTGAATTGATTTCCATTACCAGTTCTGTTTATATTCTACCGGACTAGACTTTGGAATATGGACACACACGCATGGAAACTCAGAATTCAAATTAAGATTATGAATCAAGCTCAACCAATCAGGAAGTAACAATTGACAACAGAACATATGTTTGACGACAATCTCCTCTGAGTTGTTTCAACGCGGTGAGTTCAAATTTCAAAGTATGGCCAGACTGGTCGTTATACTATTTTGCAAATTTATGTTGTCGATACAAGAGAAAGACTAAATCAGACAGAGAGCTATGGGATATGAATTGAGATTCGCCAGTAAGATGAAGCGCGCCACCAGGTAAATCATAGTTCTATTTATCATAAATTGTGTATTGTGAGAATTATGAAATTGTAATTTTATATATATCATGCATATGTTGCGAATATATTAATACGCGCAATTCGCTAAACCATTACGTGACAACTGCAGATCATTTGCGGTTTGCACTGATATTAATTACAACCAGTGTACCGCACTTATTTGCTTATTTACAATGCATACCAGCTTATTATTAGCTCTATTATTACTTTAATAGATCTTGACTGCCAACAAAACTCTGACTGAATCATATACAGGAGCGTTGTCTCTTAAAACTTGAATTGTACTGATTTTATATCAATTTTGATTCGTACGTACTACGTTGTGGAGTGTGTATATATATAGGCTCTTCAAGACCTTCAAATGCATTACACTTCATTTAACTACATAACAAATTATCTCTGGGTTAAGTTTATTTTCAACGCGTCGACACCTTATTCATATTTTTTCTAGTTCATTATTGTTATAGCCACT